TACCGCTCACCTCTTGCGGGGCTGCTCTGCTGGCGCGCCAGCCCGGAAAGCGTGGGATTGCCAGAGCTAAACTCTCCTGCGGCACCCCCCGAGCCCGGGCTGCCACGTGCTCCGTGGCCCAGGGCTCAGCCCCAGCTGCTGCAGGGAGAGGTGACCGTGCCCTGGGGCAGCAGGTCCCCAGCCTGGGAGCAAGCGCTTCTGAGGGCCCAGCAAAAGCCTTTTCAACATCAAGGGCTCTGCCTAGGGCCAGCGTGAGCTGGCCACGGCTCTCCGAGGCAAAGAGCAGCCCCTTCATGCTGCTGTTGCTGGAAGGCTTTTGCTTGCTCTGGCAGTACCAGGCAGGGCAGCACCAGCCCATCGCCCCACGCTGCCAGGGAGCCTCTTCTGACCACGCCGCTGACTGTGCTGCCAAACCCCAGGAGCCCTGGCTTGGGAAGGGAAAACTGCAGTTGCAAGAAAAACTGCAGCCTCTGACATCTAATCCCCCACCCTTGCCCTGCCCCAGGCCCTGCACAGACCTCAGGCCTTTGGGCAGCTCACATCTGCTCAGAACGGCCTGGGGCAGATACTGGAAGCAAACAGATTTTGGCTTCTGCCAAACCCTTTCCCTCCCATCCCGCCCTCTGTTACGCTGGGGAGGTGCCAAGGGCAGACTCCCTCTGAAACGGGCGCACCAGGACCAAGGGCCACGCAGTGCGTGCTTGCGCACCGACGAGGGCTCCCGCACGTCGCTCGTGGAAGGCAGAGATCACACGATTCTTACTGGAGACACGAATATGCTGTACAGCGAGGGGGGACTGCAGCTGAAGGTCTCTTCTCCTAGAACAGCTGTACCCGTCTTCAAATACTTTCCCTTTTCTTTGCAAAAGAGAGAAATTTCCTTTCATTACACTGTCCTAGACTTCAAGGCTCAGGACTAAGTCTTCGGAGTGCAATACAAAAAGAAAATAAAGACACGCCCTAAGTGCTGTTGCTGGCCCTGCCGGATAACTGCACCTCACTCTGGTCTCCTAAAAACTGGAGCATCCCCCTGTCATTCCCAAGCTGCTGCAGGATCCCCACCATCCTTGGCATGTAAACCAGCTGGCTGCTCCAGGGGCAATGAAGAGCAGGGCCACAGTAACGGAAATAGTAGCTTATGATTTGCCTTTGTAAATTTGTTAGTGTGTGTTAAAGGAAGCCTGGGCCTACCAGGTGGTGGCTGCAAAATCTCATGGCGTCTTGCCCTCTGTACCGTACGTCAGCAACACGTAGAAAAAAGTTTCCAGTAGAAGAAACGGAAGACATGGGGAAGGGTTTTCTTTGTTTTTGTACAAAGAGTCTTGCTGGGAATCCATGGCTTCTCTCTCTCATAAATAACAGGTCCTTAGTACATGTCCTTGTAGATCTCCTGCAGAAGTGGATGTAGAGATGTCTCCGTCTCTGTCTTCTTGATCTTCTGCACCAGCTGGGCGTGCTCTGTCACCAGTTGCCGCAGGTCGGCCATCTTCTGCAGCAGCTTGGGGAAGAGGTACTGAGCGTCCGGGTGGTTGGTCTGCAGGTGAAACTCCAGCGCTCGGAGGATGTTGTCTTGTATCTCCTCCACCTGCTTCACGTTCATCAGGCCAGGGCGGTCTGTGGGATGGGAGAGGCAAGGTAGCCGTGGTGTTTTGGCGTAGCCCTCTGAAGCACGTGCTGCTCCCGGGGAAACAGAGACGGGGACTGTAACCCACCCACCATCACTGCAAGCTGGTCAACTGGATAAGGGGGGAAAAGTTTGTCCTTGGACAACACATCCCACAGCAGTATATAAGGAAGGGGATGCCAACTCTATGCTCCTCATTCTTGGTCCAAGCCTGCTAGGTGTCACCACCACAGTGAAGCTTTGGTTTCAAACTGTTCAGACCTTCTCTCATCCCCCTAAGATACTCCTGGCCTAGGGCCAGCTGGAGACCAGCCACCCCAGCCCCAAACCTCTCTAAGTGAGGAAGGACTTTTCCTGACACTCACACAGCTGAGAGCACCCACTCACCTCCGCACAGGATAATGGCAGCCACAAACAGAGACAGGTCACTATCATCCAGCTCCAGAGCATTGAACTTCACAGCAAACTCAAATTTGGGCTCCATGATCTCATTGAAAGGCTTGCGCAGGCTACGCAGGAACTCACGAGTCACGAACCCATTCCCGTTGGCCACCAACAGGCCATCCTTGTTCATGATAGAGGCCAGCATTGCAAAGATGGCCTCATGCACCCCGTACTTGAGCAGAGTCACTTGGTCATTCAAGTAGAGGCCTACAAAGCTGGGGATGCTCTTGGCGAACTCGGTGAGCTCCCGCACAGTCTCCACCGAGGTGCACTGGCAGCGGTAGAAGACGTGGACCCCAATCTCCTTGTAGGGGGGAATCCCGTTCACTAGCTGTTTCCAGACCAGCCCCTTTTCTGCCTGCCACAAGGTGTCTATGTCATGGATCACAAAAGGCTGCTTGAAAGAGAAACGAGCTGTTAGAAACCAGCCACGGGAACTCGAGTTACCAGCTCTACCAAGGACACACGCGTTTGTCTCACCGCCCCTCTTGTACCTTTGCCGTCCTCTCCCCACTGGGGCTGACAATACCCAAGCAATCTACGCCCACATACAACAGCGGAAGTCAGCAGAGCGATGTGAATTTTCCCAGCGAGGGGCAGGACTTGTACAGCCCTTCTGGCTGCAGCTGGCAACTGGTGCATGTGAAGTAGTTACAGCAGGACAGAAACACTGAGCATCTCCAAGAAAATAGCCCCCCGCGTTGGTCGCGGCCAGCCCTGCCTGCCCCAGGTAGGGAACTTACTGGGGTGCTGCTGGCCTTCCCGGTCAAGATACCCCTCGCCTTCTTTTTGGTCATGTTGAAGTTTTTCAGGTAGGCGTTGTAGATGTGCTTGGAGAAAGCTTTCAGGTCAGCCACCTGCGGGTTCTGGCAGCTGATCTCACTCGCCGTCAGCCCTGCCACCAGCTTCCTCTTCTCTGCCTCTGGCATGCGGCCAAAGCGGATCGCTGCGAGGCATCAAAACCAGTCAGTCAGGGAGACCTGGAAGGACCCCAGGAGACACCTCCAGGGAGGCAGAGGTCTGCTCTGCCACCACAGACATAGGTCTGTTGGTGAACACCTGCAACTACGCTACACAGTGCCTCTCCAGGGCTGCAATTGCTCCACCTTTACAGACCAGCCATTATTGCTACCCTTGCCAACACAGCCTCACACTAAAGCTCTCATCACCACTCATTTGGGTTCTCTCACAAGCCCTGCTTCTCAGATAAACATATTGGCTAGGCCAGGAACAAGATGGTTACGCCTAAAGTTAAAAAACTGCAGGACAGAAGAGCAATCTATGTGTCTAGTTCCTGCTGGGTCTACCCATAAGGGGAAGCCATGGGCCTAGAGCCAGCCTGCAAGGCGGGAACCAGTGGCAATAAAACACTCAGCTTCATAGCCAGTGAATGAGACACGTCCTTGCAAGAGAACGGGCCCACTCTGGTATGGAAGAAAGAGTTGAAGAGTCAAAGGTCCAAAGCACTGAGTTTGAAAGAACATGATTCCTCAGCAAGAGCAGAGATAAGGGATAAAGCAAGCTGCATACAGCATCCTCCATCTGAATCCTTCAGAGCAAGTGCTGCTCTGCTCTAGGCTGACATGGTAGATGGCCCACTGGCATATGGCACTTAGCTGGCCGGATCTGTGGACACTCACCATTATGTGACATGCCCAGTGAGAGGCATTTCTGGAAGCGGCAATACTGGCATTTGTTCCGGTTCTTCTTCTGAATCTTGCAGCTCCGCTCACACTTCTCATACTCCAGCTTCATGCGGATTGTCCGGCGGAAGAAACCCTGCAGGAAGGCGGCACAGAGCCGGACACGGGGCAGGGAGACAAGGGAACAGCAGTGTTAGCACTTGTGGTTCAAGACCTCACTGACTTATTACCCGCGGGAGCCTCGTGGAGGTTTAGTTGGGTGGGGAGGAAGGAGAGATGGTGGGGCAGGGCCCTCTCATCCTCTGCTCAGTATCTTGTCACAAGTAGAGCCTCTATCACAAGGAGAGCTCATGCAGTGGGAGAAGGGGGCTGCAGAGGAGGAATTGGGGCCCCTGGGTCCAGCGCTGGAGAACTGCGTGTGTGATACTGCACATATCCAGCAGGGAGGGATGGAGGAACAAGCTCCAGGCACCAGGTCTGCCCCAGCCTGCAGGAATGTCTGGCAGGACTGGGGCCGGCTAACACAGCCCTGCTGGCATCTGCTGTGGGGAAAAGAATTTCAGAGACACATCCAAGTGGCAGGCAGCTATCCCAGGGGGATAAACACACAGCTCACTGCTGATCTGCAGCACAGAATGACCAGAAAGCATCTTTAAAAGCAAAGCCAGGATCCTCATGGGCATAGAAGGATTTGCCTTACAAAGTAAAGCACAACGGTGTAAGATTCTGGCTACAAGCATCTCAGCTTCCTCCTCCAGGACAGTATTTGTGTGCCTGTCTGTATTTTGCACGCTCTCAGGTCAGGTTGCAAATGTTTTTTACAGCCACTTAACTCTGCATCCCTGCTTTGCTGTAGACCTACTTGCCCGAAAAGGAGTTGTGTCCCCTGGAGTTTAACCTCTGCTTTGCATTGCTGAACCAAATGCTTCCCAGGGCAAGCCTACCTTGCAGCCCTCGCAGGCATGCACACCGTAGTGAAACCCCGAGGCTTTGTCTCCGCAGACCCTGCACTCCACATTCAGCGTTCCTGAGGCCGCCTCCTCGCAGCCCATCTGCAGTTGGTCCGACAGGGAGGGAGAGGAGCTCTGCGAAAGGTCTGCAAACATGAAAAGAGACATGTCCTTTTGGGTAGCAGCCACACGCACAGAGTTGCATCTGACTCCTCCAACAGTAGGGCTGACAAGGAACTTCCAGCACCGTCCCAGTCTGTCACTGGTGTTTCATTTGGACAGTTAACTCCTGAGATTAGGCGCTGGCTACAGGCTGATGCCATGCACAGAGCCAAGAGTGCTCCCAGCAGCTAAGAGACTGCACATCAATGTCGATTTCTTCCTTTTGGTGTTTTGGCAGTGAAATCCAATCAGCAAATTTTATGATCCCCAGTTGGCAGGCCTCTGGCACAGAGCTGCCGAGCTGGAATGCCCAGGGCTCTGGAGGAGGCTCTTCAGCAGCAACAAAACTTCCTCTCTCAGCCCCTACAATCAGACTTAACGAAGCTGGCCAGGGAAACGTTCTCAGGCACCCTGGGAATCCTTCCCCCTCTGACACACACGATCAGGGACATAACATCACCCGCCTGTCCTTTCCAGTTCTATCTCCCAACCCTTCACCAATGGCTGTGCAGTGAGTCACCTTCTCACTGCAGAGGAAGAAATAAGCCTCCCCATAACTTGGCTCTTCATGAATTATTTCACAGAAGGGAAGAGATTAAAACAAGCTATACTCCATTCACATGCAGATCCTCTGTCTTTCGCAGCTGAACACGCTGCCCAGAGGACATGGCTGCAGCCAGCACCTGATGCTCCCAGGGAAGATGAGCTCCTGCAGTGGTTCCTTCATAGCTGGAAGTTAGCTATGGCAGGAGGAGGGATTTGCTCCTGCCTACTGGTGTCTGCACTCAGGCAGTGGCTACCACTGCAGCCGGTCCCTCTTGGTGAAGCTGCCCCGTCACCCACCGCACACCCTGGCAGACCCATGGGGCCCAGCTGGGCCTTGCCACTCACCTGTGTAGCTGCTTGAAGGCAGCGAGCTGTCTGGTCCTCCACTTGGGTCTGAGGCTCCACTTGCCACCATCACTGCCTCTTCCTCTTCCTCCTCCTCTTCCCTGACCTCAGGTACTTCCTCCTGTAGTTGTTCCATAATTGATCACCCCTCAGTGCCAAGACTGCAATCCCTCTCATAGCTCTGGCATCATCCGTGTCTATCCAAGATGGACCCTACCAGGCTGTTCCTGCTAGCCTGCGGGAAAGAGAGAAGACACACGGGGTCAGCTCTGAATGCCCCACGGAAATACTCTGGCCGCAGCAGCGAGGAGGGCAGAGCAGTGCCTAACCATTCTAGCCCTGCTCTTTTTTTCCTCCTTATTCAGGGAGAAAGATCACTTCACTCTCTGGTATAAACTCTCTGCAGGACTTGATTTGCAGTAAGCAAAACCTCTCCGGGATCATGTTTAAACCCCAGCATAGAGCCCAGACTACAGACCAGCCCAGAGAGCTGTGGGAGCAGGTTCCCCGCTTGCAGGAACCGTGCCCCCCACAGCAGAAGCACTGCCCTGAGCAACGCCCCCGCGCTGGTAACGATAAAGTCCCGGGAAGTCACGACAGTACCCCAGGCTGGGCGTTTGGCAGAGCCAACGCGCTGCTGTTTCCAAACTTCGCAGGCTGCACGTGGGGAAGGCTTTGGCTGAAGGTGAACGCAGGACCATCGTCAGTCCAGGCACCCCAGTGTCTCCCCAAGGCCTCTGGCGCACGAGGGAGAGCTGGCACCACCAGCACTGCGTTAGAAGCAGGGAAGCCGCATCCCAAACCTTGCCCAAGGCCAGGCGAGGAGTCAGCAACGGGACAGGGAGCCCGGCACCCGAAACACGAGGAGCTGCGTTCAACCGCTTAACTTCACGCATCCGCCTCTGACGCAGAGGCTGCGTTTACCCGCTATGGTCAGCAAAAAGGGACTGACTGCCAAAGCATGACTGGTGCAGTGCCCCAGGAAAGATTAGGGCACCAACAGCTTCACCCTCCATCCCCACCTACCCAAGGCCGAGCTCGGACTCACGGATGACGGCAGGAGGAGAGCGAGGGCTCAGGGGCTCCAAGCCTGCGGCGAGGAGGTGCCGGGAGAGCCAGACTCAGCGCAGCAGCGCACGGTGGCTGAAAGCCCCAGGCCCTCGCGCAAACTAGCTGCGAGACCCATCACTTCCTGCCAGCCCCCGTGCTCCTCGGCGTTCATGCTCCTTCCAGTTAACAGTGCTCCCAGTTGCAGCGTCTGTGTTTATTTTTATTCATCATGTTGTAACTGGCCCCGGTTCCTCTGCCAAAAGCCACTCAGTGAAACATGTTCCTGTTGCTCTGCACAGCTGCCGGGCCAGGCTGAGCCACGGGGTCCAGCAGCGTGATCGCGACAGGCTGTACAATCCAGCTAGTGTCTTAATCCCGCGTTTCCTGTGGGAGGACCAGCAACTGCCCCGTCCTCCCCGCTCACGCTTCCTCTCCTTGTTTGTATTAGTCCATCCTAAACAGCCCACAGAAAGTGCAAGCACTGACGACGCATCGCCTACACCGCGACCAGCGCAGACCCCGCAGCGGGGCTCTGCGAGGAGACGATCGGAGCGACGGCTCGAGCACGACCACTCCGCAAGGGCACGCTTTCTGCAGGCAGGGGAGCAGCCTCCCCAGCACCTCGGGCAGGCGCTCGCCTGGCCACTGACACCTTCCACTGCTGGGGAAGGGTTGGGACGGCTCAAAAAGGATCTCGTCCCATTGCTCGATCCCATCACCAGCTGCTGAGGACAAAACCTACACATTGCTGGCATAGAATCATGTTCTGCTGCCCATGCCCAAGCCCACGTTAGGGTACGGGGCTTGCTGCAATTTCCGGGAGGCTTTTGCTGGGGCCGGCAGTGACCCGCGACTCCCTGGTCCCGTTTCTCCTCCCTCGGCAGAACCCCAGCCCCAGCATTTTGGACTTGAGCCGCAGTCAGCTCCTTCAGCTTGCTGGAGAGCCCTCGGCGCAGAGCAAGGTCAGAGTTCCCGGCAAGATCAAGCAAGCAGCGGACGATACCAAGGCAACGCACAAAACTAGCAAATAGGAGGTTGAACGTAAACACACCAGAACCTGGGTTTCCTGGGGGCAACAGCACTTTGCTTTTCCCCTCTGCGCTGGAAAGTTAGATTTGCGAAAAAGACCATACGCAGATCTATTTCAAGCAGTTGGGAAAAGTACGTTCCAGGCAACTCAAAAGCATAATTGCCCTGTTTTCCTTTACAGCAGGAGCAGGCAGAGCGGCGTGCGTGCCGAAACAAGTGCAGAGCGCTCCCTTTTAGTGCCTCCTCAAGAGCACTGAGGGACCATTCAAGGGCTGTGTTATCCTTGGCCTCCTCTCACACATCCCGCTCGGTGGGACATGGCACACACGCAGGAAAACCTATTCATTAGAGATGGAGCGTAATGAGCTGAATCTTTCTTTTTAAAGGCTACATATAAATGAATGCACAAACACCAGGAAAACACTTTTGCCTAGAACAGCACTTAACAGGGGAAGTTTGTGGCAGGAGAAATCAGTCTATGGTGGAAAATACATCCAGCATCACCTTATTCAGCTTCTTATTAGCTCTCCTTTGTCTCTGGCATCCATCAGAAAAGGTAAGCATAGGCCACTTATTTTAAACCCAGTGCAGATGTAGCCCTCTGTGAAGCCTCCTCAGCTTCACGGTGCGTTGCCGTTGGAATAACACCAGCACATTCCTCCAGCTGCGCTTCTGGCATGCCGCCCCCCGTAAGCCAGGGCATCTCGCAGGGCTGGGGCTGGCGGAGGCACAGCATTGCCTGCAAGCCAGAGAGAGCACCAGCCTGGCCGCGTCCTGCACGCAGGCCACTCGGGCTTAGGCCTATGCAGCACCAGCCAAATTCCTGCGCGAGGGTGAGAAATGAGTTTTAGCACCACATAAGGCGCTGGTTCAGCCTTCCCGAGCACCGTGCTTTGCTTACGCAGGGAGCGACGACGCGGGGACAGCCTGGGTGACCTCCTGGGCCCTCCTGGCTTTGCTCTCTGCTGTTCCAGCCACAGCAATCGGGCTGCACACGCGCACGGGCACAGTTGGGAGCCTCAGACCATCAAACTGCCTCTGTGGTCTACTCAGTGCCGTGTATTTCTGGGGATGGCAGCTAGAGTCTGTGACATGCAGCTCGTGCCCTGAAAGCCATCAAACCAACCCAAACCTCTGCTCAGTTTGTCTAGAGGTGAACATGCAGCCCAAGAGGGAGAGGGGGAAAGCAGAGGGCTAAACGCAGCCAGACAGCGACGCTGGAGCTGAGGCTCCGGCTAAGGTTCCCCATGGGAAGGCAGGCCTCCGCCGAAGAACAGGGATTCAGATCCCACCCTTCGAGAAGGGCTGGAGAGCCAGAGAGATAAAAGCTTTTACCAGAAAGCTCCGAATTTATTGTTTTAATATCATCTTGCAGGCCAAGAGTACGGGGGCCTGGTCAGAGGGGAGCTCAGAGATCTGTTTGCACACCTGCCTTTTCTTTAGCCCTCTCCCCTGTTTTCCAAACAACAGAGATGGAGGGAGGGGGGGGGAAATGAAAAGGGATTAATTTCACAAGGGAGCCCGCACCCCCTGCATTCGGCAGATGAAAGGCCAGGCAGCAGGGATGAAAGGCAGAGCACAGGCCGTGCCCGTGCACCCCGGTGCGGAGCGAGCCGGCTCGGCAGGGCCCTGCACTGCCGAAGGAGAGGCGCAGACCCTCCACCCTCCCCTCCAGGGCTCGGGGCACTGGCGTGGCAGTAAAAACGCGCCGCGTGCGGAGATTTCAGGGCCTTACTTTCGGCAAGGTTTTCAGCCAGAGTATTAAGTTCAGCATAAAGAACATGCCAGCGCTGACTTGATTAAAACGGGCGAAAACAGCTCATTTGATTTCTTTTAGCCTTGGATTCTTCTGGCACGCGCAGAAGGGAAGTGCACGGAGAGAGCAAACACCTGCGCCAGCCTTCAGGACGCTTTACTGGGTCCCAGGCACCAGGGAGATCCCCTCCTAGCAGCCTGATCCCTCCAGAAGGGCAGAGGCGAGCGTCTGGGGACAGAAACTGTTTGCACAGGATTACACAGAAACAGTGACGAGTACCAAAAGGGGACATGCCACCTCTCTGCTCCAGCCCAGCCGCCCCATGGCGCGCACCCCCTCCTCCTTTCCCTTGCGAGCTGGGCACCCGGGGAAGCTGGAGCACCCCACAGGTTTCTGTCCCCTCTGGGAACAAGGGGGCATCTGTCCTACCAACAGCTCTCCTTGGCACCCCAGCCCCAGGCAAGGTTTTCCCAGCAGACAGTGCTGGCCGCACAGACGGCTGAGGATGTCCTTCTCGCCTCTGGGATCTTCCCAACCGCTCGGTGCCTCTGTGTTGAGCTCCTGAGCGGGCAGGGCAAGAGGAGGAATAACTAGGTCTCCTCCCCTTGCCAAAGCAGCCACCCGCTGTCGCACGGTGCGTGAGGGCTTCAAGCTGCCGGGAGAAGGACACATTCCTGCCCGGCGCACCCACCCCCTTTTTCCACTCAGCAGCTGTCACAGCGCAGCGATGGCAAGAGAGGATGGAAACAAGGACAGGAGGCCATGAATTCCTGCTTAAGCTTCTCCAGAGAAATCAGGCAAACCTATTTCCCTTCCTCTTCCTGCAGGATGGGAACAAGCCCAAGGGCAAGCATCTCGTGACTTGCTCTGCCCTTGCCTCAATCCCTGTTCAGATGAACTTCTGCAACCCTGGATGAGACACCACGCTCCCTCCTGCCTGTAACTGTCGGAGGGTCCCTTTGTTAGCTGGGGGGTGAGCGAGGCAGGGGTTTGGGCAGAAGCCTGCTGGCCACAGCACCTTGCCTTTAGCTCCCACGCTGCAAACAGCACGGGCAATAGGTTTCTCTTTGCTAAAGCCAGGAGCGGGCAACTACGCCAGGCTGAAGCAGGCGGTGCTGTCGGCTGAGCGGGAAAGGGGGCAGGGACGTGGCACAACAGGGGGAAAAAAAAGAGGAAAAAAAAAAAGAGAGATACGCATGAAGGAGGAGAAAACAGCCATTAGTGGAACACACACACAGCACCCAGCATGCCGGGGCTTGTGACAAAATTAAAGAGAGACAAATCTTCAGCCCCAAGGTGAAGCATGGACCCGCTGAAACGAATGGCAATACTTCCCTGGAGCTGAACAAGATCCATGCCTCCATCCCAGCATTTAATAACCTGCAGCTCACACACTGTGG